GGTTTAACTAAGGATCGGTGGACCCCGGAGTCAACATAGTGAAATAAGTAGATCTCAGTTTATTTTATAGTAGGACTGGCGGAGCCGGTGGTCAACGTAGTGAAATTATAAGTAGATATAGGTTTAATTAAGGATTGGTGGACCCCGGGGTCAACGTAGTGAAATCAGTAGATCTAGGTTTAATTAAGGATTGGTGGACCCTGGGGTCAATGTAGTGAAATAAGTAGCCTACATGTAGATCTAGGTTTAATTTTAAGGATTGGTGGACCCTGGAGTCAACGTAGTGAAATAGGTCCTTAATTAAACCTTATTCCTCTACGGCTATGGTGACTCCGGGGTCCACCAATCCTTTTAAAATTAACCCTACTTATTTCACTACGCTGACCCCGGGGTCCACCAATCTTTAAAGAAACATACCTATTTCACTACAGTGACCCCGGGGTCGACCTGTCCTAAAACCTAGTATTTCGCTAGGTAGACCCCGGGGTCCACCTTAAACCTGCTTATTTATCACTACGTTGACCCCGGGGTCCACCAATCCTTACTTAAACCAAACCTTATTTCACTACGATGACTCCGCGGTTCACATCCTAAAACCTAGTATTTCGCTCTGCAGACCCCGTAGTCCACCTATCCTCTACAGGACTAAACTATTATCAATTTGCAATTTTCATTGATTAGCATTTTTTTTTCAAAATATTGAATCAGAGACTCGCTGTCTAAAAAGTCCACTGCTAATGCTATTCTTTTCAAAGAAAATGGCACAATTTGATTTTATGACATGTTGAAAAAAAAAGTTTGAAAAATATCCCGAAAACAAGATAAAATGATTATATAGATCTCTCTCTCTCTCTCTCTCTCTCTCTCTATATATATATATATATATATATGTGTGTGTGTGTGTGTGTGTGTGTGTGTGTGTGTGTGTGTGTATTTTATTATGTATACTAAAAGACTGAGCAGAGGCTTACAATGTAAATTCTGTGCTCTACAAGTAGAGAAAATATTAAGTTTGCGCAAAACAGATTTTAGAAAAAAAAAGTTGGATCTAATTATTCTAATACAAGTAAAAGTGATTGTTATGGTGAGATTTGTTATTATTGACTCTGGAAATACAGTTACTTGCTGAATCTAAAAGTAACTAGAACTGTGCAATTCGTTTTATTTCAATTCCAAAGCCCAACGGCATAGCAATAATAAGTTAGATCTAGATCTAGCAGTTGTAGGCTCTCTGGCTGCTTCTAGCATAGGCCTGCTACTACTGATTCTAGACAGGGAATCTAGATCTTGCTATCGCCTGCACTATTAAAGTCAAATATATGGTAAAATAAAAACAAAACTGAATTTTTTTCAGTCAGTACATCCCAATTGCCATAGCCGCACGTATTAATAGTTGAATAATGCGATACCGAAGCAACACGTTATCACAGTGTGCAGGGGAGAGCGAGGCGCCCGGTCGATTCCGTGGTTCGGCTTTTGTAGATCTATGCATTTTTTACGGAAAGCCCTATTACCTAACCCTATTACTAGATCTATTAGTGTTGTGAAAACTTCAACCTCTACAGCTCAGGCGTCAAAAGATGCTGGAAAATAATAATACGTCCTGAAGTTTCATAATTTATTTTTATACAGAATAACACAGTACACAGCCAGTAGTTTTTATTTCATCGAGTTATAAAAATGGCCTTCGTATAAAAATTGCCTTGTTTTCAGAAGCAAATTTTAATAGTTCTAGTTCTACCGAATCGATTTTCACGCGAATTCAACCATTTTGATGATCTTTCTTTTCCTTTTAAAAAGATGTAGATCTAGGCCTGTCGGATGTGGCAATGCGAATAACACTGAGTTGTTTAGATCTAGACCCATCAAAACAGGAGGCTTCGTGGCCGATCACAAAAGTCTACGGGGCTTATCGAGGCCGATTCGCCCTTCCACGAGTACGTTCACTAAACTGCCTACTGGATAGAATCTACTACCAAATATTCTCTACACGATCTTTGCTACTACTACTACTAGGCCTACTAGCCTACATGTACTACTACGAGACAGTACGAAAGAGTGTCACTCAGGCAAAGATAGTGTAACTTTGACTCAGCCACGTAGTGTACACTCTTTTTATACCCCAAATTTAACCCGGAAGTCCATTCGGAGGATTTGACCTTTTCACTGGACCAAAGTGTGCCAAAATGGTAGCCTAGCTTTTGCCCCTCCATGAAGGAAAAATCTGGCCCTCATTCAAACCATTGGGATTGAGCAAAATTTTGCGTATTGTGCTTTGTTCTTTACAATATTCATTATGGTTATGATTTATAAGTTGTACACTGAGACAAAACCGTACTAAATGAGAAAGGTGCACCATTATGAAAGTGGAACGAACTCAGTTGCCTGAAAAAGGTAGTTTGAGCATGTGTGGCCTAAATAAGCTAAACCCCCCTCCCTTACCTTATTTAGGCCACAGTCCACTGTGGCCTAAATAAGCTAAACCCCCCTCCCTTACCTTATTTAGGCCATATGTGGCCTAAATAAGCACTCCCAAAAATTAATTAAAGTGACTGTGGCCTTTTAGGATGACAAAAATTACAAAAAAATTTCTGCCATTGGCAAAAAGAATTTTCTTCAACCATCAAAACTGTTCACATGAACTTACAGCTCACCAGGTTAATATCTTTAGAATGTTCTGCATAAAGAGTAGACCCAAAAAGCTGTCAAGTTGTTGTTATTGATCCAGCAACAGCTGGGCCCATGCCCTTCTGTCCAATGCCATGTAAAGAGCTGTCTAGACTGGTTTGAAGCATAATCTAGGAATCTGGTGGTCCTTTCCAAAATTGTACTGATCTTGACATTTTTCAACATTTTCTCAGTAGTTTCCAACTCATGTGGTCACACAACAGAACTTTATGACACTGACAAATGAAATATTAGTCCTTTGTCAACATGCAGTTTGTTCAGCCTTCTTACAAAATAATCTTTTCTGAATTCTGTATTTAGTAAATAAAGTTGACTGTTCTAGCGTTTCATCAAACAAAACATTTTGTTAGAATGCAAGCAGCTGTTATGTAAAATCTTCAAAACAGCTCGAATCAAAAATGAAAAGCCACAATAAGGCATCACTCTCTCCACAACATTCTTCATTAAATATTCTGTCCCCCCAACCCCCCCCCCCCCCCCTTCCTCTCAGTCAGCCCAGATGAAAAAGAGAACATTAAAAATTTGTAATGTTATGATCTCTACAAAAGGCAATGAAGTTGAAGAATCACACCCCTAAATGTTACAATCAGGAATCTCAAACAGAGAGGTGGAGTGAAAAAGCAGCAGTAGCAAACCTCCTTCAATCAGAGTATCAGCCAATATGAGGCTTAAAGAAAACAAATCAGTTTTGATTCCATAACGTCAAACCTTAAAAATGCTGTTAGTTAAAGATGTAATAAATGTCAAGGAGAAGCTGAGACAGTCTTGCCACATGAAAAACAAAGCCCTGCTCACACAAAGTGAAAAGATTTAATATCCTCTCATTCTTCTTTTCCCTCAAAAAAATTGAAAACAGAGACAAATGAACCGCAGTTCATAGTCAAGTAAAGTTAAACCAGCTTTAACTCTAACAAAAACCAACAGTCCAACACAATCACCTGTACAGACAACCACTTCTAACTCATCCCCCCCCCCCCCCCCCCCGTGTTTTTTTCTTTTTTACTACACACGTATTAAATGACACTGTCCAAAAGGACCACAAAGGATGACTACTTTTCTCCACGGCAACGGCCTGTCATATTGGACAGGCTCAACTATATATTATATATACAATATAGCACGTATAGGTTGAACACAGAAGACTCAAAATCACGAATCCATCGAACTGGGTTTGCGGTCCCGTGTTTTTTTTTCTTTTCTTCTTCATCTTATTATCTTTGAAAGAGATCTCTCTAACTACATATCCCTCAAACTACCGAGGCTGGTCCTGACAAATTCCAGCTATTCTTGTTATACAGTATATATCCAGGATTGCATCATCGAAATAAAACTGTTTTTGCAACATTTTTCACATTTTAACCAAACAACCTTGAACAAAATATGTCATGTGTCAAAGTATTTTTTTTTCCACGTTTTTTTTTTGGGGGGGGGAGGGGGGGGCAACATATATAACATATTTATACGATACAGAACCAAAAAATGTAATTATAATTCTCTTAGAGACAAGATATGGTCCCATAACATGCAGATAAACATGGGAAATATTTTGAGCGTAGCAAGTGACTGGGTCCACAAAATGTTTACAACAGCATTAAAATTGACAAATGCATATCTTCCAATGGTACCAGTAATCAAAGGGCAGTTCAAAGTTAATGCTAGTCAGGGCAAACCTAGGCTTAGAAGGATACAACATCCCAGCAGAAAGACCAAGAAACTCAATAAAATACTTCTCCCCACTCGGCAATTGAACTTGGGTCTCCTGCGTATAACAGAGAAGCCCCAAACCACTACACCACAGACGTCAGTTTCCAGTCTCTTCTTGAGTGAGAAAGTTTGTCGAATGCCGTAATGTACAAAAGAAGAGTCTAATGCACTAATGAAAGCAAATCAAAATATGCACAAACTAGTCTCCAAAATTTTACATTCCTTTCATGATTGTGACACAGTACGTAAGCGTAATTTTGTTTTAAAAAATTCAAAACCACATGTATTATGCATAAAGGCAAAAAGTGCACACTCACTATGATAATAATCGAAATAATAATAATAATTATTATAATTATAATAACAATAATAATAATTACGCAAAAAGTGCACACTCAAAACAAAAAAAATAAATAAAAAATAATAATAATAATAATAACATAAAACAATAATAATAATAATAATAATAATAATAATAACAATACACTCTGGTCCCAGAAAAAAGAGTATTACGTCATCATAAACACTTTTTAAAATTCCCATCATTCCCCCAAACACATCATAAAGGAATAAATGTCATTTGTTCCTCTAGTCTGCTATGGTATCTCAAAACATGAAGATCACATAAATAGCAATATTGCCCTTCCAGAAATTTACACTGGTAATAAAACCAAGAAACAGAAGATTTAATCACCCCTGCAAATTGTATCTTATACGCTAAAATAAGAAGCACAGTCACTGTCAAAACCAGGGCCACCACAACAGGTGAAAGGAACATTGTGAAGAGTTCCCAAGGCAAGACAAAATTTGCACCCGGCTGCCCGTAAAGGACTAAATAGTACGAGGCAAATCTGCGACTAGCAGCTAAAAACATTAAGGTGTAATTTACCGCAGTTTGACTTTTTTCTAGTAATATCTTATATTACTTGCTAAATGATTGTTTCCATGAATACAAAAAGGACCAGCATATATTCAAATATCACAGAACATCATATCAGCTTTTCCTGTCTGATTTCTTTATGGTACATCAAAAGCAATACATCCAAACAGGTTGGCAAACGTTCATTTTTACCTTGAAACAGAGATCACTGTGATCAGAGAAGACGATCCTTATACATTCCTCAGTAAGTCAGCAAAAACATTTGTCAGTACACCAGCAAAAATAAATTTCTTTGCCTTCCACTTAAGAAAAAAAATTAACTGTTGCAAGGGGGGAAAACTCTGAAGGCACATCCTCGGAACTAACTAGCTCGGCACACGGACACAATATCAATCACACTCATGAGCTTTATCATTCAACACTTTCAGACAACGTGTAATCATCCAAAAATGAAATTACGGTGTCTCCTAACTAATCTGGTGTTTCACACAGAAATACGTAAACCGTCTAAACTTCCTTGTGTTGATGGCCGATGTTTCGTTCTGTAGTGCCATGACCGATTTAATCTGCTCAAATTTGAAAGGCTATCTCAGTTCATGTATTCTTTCTTTTATATCGCCAAATATTTCAGATTCTATGCAAATGAGCTGTATTTCCTACTCACATTCTACTTTCTGAAACGTATAGGTTTATGGCCTTTACTAGATTGGTTTGCCTATTCTCAAGCATTTTCCAACATAATATGGTGAAATCATATATACTTTCCCGAACATCACAAGCTATTTGTTAGTGACACACAGAGGGTTAAAAATCGTTAAGAATTTTAGAATTGTGTTTTCTTGAATGCCAAGCAATTTTTTAAACTATATGATAAAAGTGGCAAATATGACCCAAATGAAAAAAAATTCTTGTAAATTTTCATCTTGACATCAATACTGCGCCACTAGCAGATTTATTCGCAGTTTTCAGTCCTGTTTTACACAAGTGCTGTGCACTACTTACAAATGCAACATTCAGTGACAATGACAGAATAGACACAATTTTGAGTATTTCTCAAGCATAGCTTAGAATCTATTGATGGTTCTAAGTAAATATACATAAAGATTTCACATATATACGTAAAAAAGAGTGACTGCCGGCTATTCAACAGCTTGTCAGAGTTGACCGTGGCATCTAAGAAATAGGAAGTTTCTTGGCACATATGAAGTGCTAAATCAGCACAAGAAGAGCCAGAGGCATTCAGACAGTCAGCATATGTGAGGGGTGCTGACAAAATGAGTTACTTCTCGCGATCCAAGAATGGATATATCGGCCGAAAATCAACACCGGACGGGTCAGATTCATAGATTTTCAGTTGAAGCCATTTTGTTCAAGTCTATCTTGTCTTTTATTATTCCATAACTAACAAATTGTGCAAACTCCACATGTAATGTTGATGTATCAATTTCCATAGGGCTAAAATCCTAAAGAAGTAACTTAATTTGTCAGCATGCCTCACATATATGTAAGTCGCATGGTGCATGTGGAACATTGCGACACACACAAACAATTGATTATTTATGACAGGCATGCAGAAAAAGGACAAAATTTATTGCGTCAGAAGCTGAAAAAATGTCATAATGGATGAATACATCATCTGGCCGTGGAAATGCAAGGTAGATCACAATTGAAAATGGCACTGAATTTAATTTCTGAAAAAAGACCACAGTATTGCATTCACTCTACACACCAAGAAAAGCAGCAAATCTGAGAGGAAAACTGCAAGGTTTCCAAAATTCTACAGCAGATTATCTTTCATAATCCATTTTGATGAGTAAATAAAAGGGCTGTGGCATTTGTGATTTTTTAAAAAATAATTTAATACAAAAGTAAGCTCTGTGCATCAAAAGCCAAATGATGAGACATTGATCAGACGAAAAAAATAGTAAGATTCCAAATATGTCTGTTCAAATGAAGAAATTACACACGATATCACAAACACGACGTCTCCACATTAGTTCCGTGTCAGATAAGTCAGTTCAGCGCTTAAGTCCAGCTCATAACAGTCATAACAACTACGCCAAAACTGATAGATATATTCATGGTGACTAGAACGTAAAATGTAACTTATGTAAATCAAAGAGGAAAAGATAGACAAAAGTGATTTACTAAGCACTAAGCAAAGTCAGTTACTTGACAAACTGAAAACACACAGACACAAAAAAAACATTTATTAGCCCTAATGTCATTACTGGATATAAGCAGGTAGGATGTTGATAATATACAAAATGACGATAGAGAAATAGAGACAATGCACAGATAAGCTACTGACACAAATGCCACGTTCATTGAGTTTCCGTTTACCACCTGACTTTTGTTTACTGACGGATAAGTGGGCAAAACTTGTTTTGAGCATAGGCACAGTTTCAACTTCCGGCAACCTTAAAAACTGCCTCTCGATTTCTTCAGATAAAATATTTACAGCACAGTCTTATTATAGTTCACTAAAGTGAACTTTCCAGGAGCAAATCTTCATTTCATTACAACCTTAGTTCATTTAAAGTGGTTTTTCATAGAGGAAAAAAATGTGAAAGAAACAAGAAGTAGCCTCATTATCAATTTCAAGGACAAGTGAGACAATAGGGATACTTTTCTCTATCCCCATCCCCACCCTTCTCTCTCATTTAAGTCACAATAGGCCTGCTCTTGACTCGTGGTCTCTAAAGCCACGTTAACCATCAGCTGTTCTTCTCCACTTCCCTCCGATTCTTTGATATATAACTATCAGACGGAAAAACGGTCCAGCCAAGGAACTCATATAATATGCCAGCTAATAATACTAATCTGACCGTAATACCATTAATTTATGAAAATTATAAATAAACTCAGACTAAAGTTGGTCTTCAAAGAGCCTTATTTCCTGGGAGAGGTTCTTATTAAATTACTGATTTAAATGTTCTATCTTTATGATGCCGAGCACCGCTACTGCAGGGTTAACTATAAGCGACACTCATTCCCAACATGTTCATATCATGTGAATTCAACTGGTAAGTACAAAAAGGAGGAAAATAAATTGGGACCAAAGCAAAATCATTCATTTCTGCAAAAAGTCGTTTGATCCAAGTTCGTTATAAACTCCATTGCGTATGGAAGAGTAAAATCTCAGCGCATTTGGGTACTGTGGTGAACAGAGGAAAAAAGATAACAGTAGGATACTGGTATGAAAAAAAAAAAACTACATAAAAGGGGAGGTTATGAATTAGAAGGAAAGAAGACACAAACGCTGAAAGACAAAAAACTGGAAGCACAGACAAGGAATGCCAAAAAACACATTCCTGCTCTCACAAACAGTGAGATAGCGAAACCACATTCAGTATTTGCACTTATTTGCACTCTCAAAGAAAAGTGAAAATCCAATCAAAAGAAATACATTACAGTTATACACCCATAGATTACCAAAAAGAAAACACATATACACACGTGCAGATGTCAGAACCATTCACCACTGCTTTTTAAAAAATTATATATATATATATATATTTAATGTATGGCAAGCTATTACCAAAATACCTATTTCAACTCTTTTCCAAGCACCTTCACTCCATGCTTACAGAATGTGCATGCAATGCAATTTTTGTAAGTCTAATTTTGAGCCATGATTTCATTCCACATTGCACTTCAATACAGATTACACACTTCCGATGGATTATCCGATACGATAAGATAAACTTTTCAATGTCCATTCAGTCATATGGTACACACACATTATCCTGGTGGCAAGTCTGTAGCACTGACTATCCAGTTCAACATTCGCAATGTGTAAGAGTATTCACTGGTCCCAGGGGGCTAACGGGAGGACTCTCTCCGTGTGTCCACTCCGTGTATGTACAGATTTCCTACCACACACAGCATGACAATGTTGAAGGCGTTGTAAAGGATCATAGATCGGAACCGAGGCTCCAGGTCACCCTGACGGTACCAATAGATCTGCGGGAGACACATAAAAATGAAGACTATTTATAGATTCTAAGCATCAACACAACTGCATCATCAGCACAAATTTACAGAGGTAGAGGGTGAAACACACGAGAGATGAGAGCAGAAAAAAAAATCCTCCCCTCTATCACCTCATGGAGACAAAACCATGACCCTCTGCTGTTGTTTAATTTTCTCCAAGAAGTTCTCTACGCATTTCTCATGTTTTCAAAATGTCTTCGTGACTTATTTTTACTGAAATAATCATTTTGTATTAGTTTTCACTTTGCTCAATAATACCAGTGCTGTCAATTGCATTAATTTATTCTGACCTGAATCATGTCTATAAGCAGCCATTGCAGCAAAACCAAAATGGCCGACATGCTAAGCAAAGAAGAAAAGAAGACACAACAGGAATGAAAAATTGAGTGTGTGAGTTTTATTTTCCAAGTCTGGAGATCATTTACCTCTTTACACCTTTAATACAATTGGAAAAGTAGTTTATTAGAATTATGGTACTTTGATGAAGGATTCTGACACTAAAACTTTCCATTTGTTAACAATACCTATGAGAATCTGTTTGTTCTGACAGGCCCTGGTTATTTTTCAAACATTCACATTATTAATGACAAAGCTAATAGGCATAATTCTGTGCTGTGAAAAGCTAAGACAAATATATTTGTTTTGGGACATCCCAGCTTTCTACACTTTGTTGAGAGATGCCTTTTACACATCAAAATATTATTCCACCCAAAATATCTTTTTGTTATATCGTCGGCCCAGAGTACAAGTGTCGTATGTCCACTTTTCATGAAATTCGAGATAAGACCACTCATGCACTCAAATTCCCAGGTATTGTGTCTCCAATAAGTTTGAAGACACTAAGCCCAGTATTTGTTGAGATATCCAGAACCCACTTGTCATGTGTCCAAAACAGATTAAAAAAGAAGAGAGTACAACTGCCGAACTCCATAAGCATTAATTTCGATACATTTATTTGTTTTGTCGTATCTCCACTTGAGCCAATGGGATGAGAGAGTGCCGTCACATGATTTTGTGGGCAAAGCAAAATAGCGTCGTCTAGAAGAGGACTGTTCAACCATCAAGAGGCCCTAAAAGTGTATGTTCATTGAATTTGAAAGAGTGTCTTGATGAGTCAGAGTGTGTCTGTATGTCCCAAATTCTTTAAATTCTATTTTTGTCATTGTTTTGCAATCATCAGAGCACTCTTAATTCTTTCGTTTTTGTAGTGCTTGCATAGACATTGTTGGTGCCTCTTCTGTGCCTGGGATTTGTGAGGCGGGGGGGGTCCCCAAAGCTTTCTATTTCTATTTTTGTTTTCTTTTGTTCTGCTACATATTGCTTGTATTTCTGCCCTCTCTGTGATTTGAGTATAGAATATCCCCGGGAGACCAAACACTACCGGTTGTGCGTGTAAAATCAAAACATAGCTGGTGTTATACTTTTTATTGTTTCTGTACGCCTCCAATTATTGTTGCCTGATTTCTTATGAACATGGGTGTTTGGTTGTCTCAATTTGCATAGTCGTGTATCCGAGTTTTTACTTTTGATTGCAACATCTTTGGCTCATTTTCACAAAAGGCACATTGCTTGATAATATTAGTAATGGGTGTGTGTGTGTGTGTGTGTGTGTGTGTGTGTGTGTGTGTGTGTGTGTGTGTGTGTGTGTGTGTGTGTGTATATATATATATATATATATATATATATATATATATATATATATATGTGTGTGTGTGTGTGTGTGTGTGCCTATTGAATGAGAGGCTAACACTGTAAGCTCTAGACCACGAGAGCCCCGCCTCCAATAGTAACACGTAATTGTGGGAAGCAAGACCGACTAAACTTTAAAATTAACTCGGACAAAAAATTAAAAGAGAAAAATAGTAACATAGACCACAGATCAGAGTTGCTCTTGTCTTACTCTTTTCACAGTTGTGAGAATTTAAATGTACCTGTGAAGTAAAAACAAACTCATAGACAGAGAACACATTTTTTTTTAAAATACTTATAACTTCAAAATGTACAAACAGTTAATACATGTAAGTTTGGAACATTCTTCTTTCACATTGACCTGCTGTTCCTATTTCCATCTATCAAATATATTGAAATGTTTTGATTTGATTCAGCATTGCGCATATTTTGTCAAGAGGCAATTTTCCTTTGAAACAACCAGAGCTCTCTAAGAGGGGAAAAGGTGGAGGTGGTGAGGAAAAGACGACCAGCCTAGCGACCTATTCCTGTGTGATTCTTTGTTCATGAGGAACGCCGTATCAAAACAGATTTGCTATTGGGAATGTAAAGAATAGCTGGAGTCAGGTGAGACTTCAGGAAAATATATCTGGAGTCGGGTGAGACTTCAGGAAAATATATCTGGAGTCGGGTGAGACTTCAGGAAAATATTTAGGGCCTTTTACTTTTACTCTGAAAAACAAAATATAGGCTTTAAATTAGCACAACAGTTTAGTTTATAACTGTGCTTATAACACAAACACAAACACACCATCCCACATTCGCAGAACAGAAGAATGTGCATCCTGGTCTTGCAGAGTTGTTTGTCAAGAAGGCAATACATACACCGGCACGCATGACCGCACTTAAAAGGGGCGCAAAAATGAGGACAAATTATAATTCAGATTTGATATAGACACGTTGTGGGCCCTCCCTTTCCTGGTGGGGCAACACGACCTGAACAGTGTCTAGATTTTTGTTCTGTAACGAAATAAACAGCTCATGCGGTCATGAGACGCGCTTGTTGAAAAGACGGAAATAATCAAAAGCTAAATAGAATTGTATGCATGCATGTTATGTATGTAAGTTATGCATGTATGTATGTACATGTATGTATGTATGTATGTATGTAGGTAGGTAGGTAGGTAGGTAGGTAGGTATGTGTGTGTGTGTGTCTGTCTGTCAGTCTGTCTGTGTGTGTATGTGTGTGTGTGTGTGTGTGTGTGTGTGTGTGTGTGTGTGTGTGTGTGTGTCTGTGTGTGTATGTGTGCGTGTGTGTATTTCATTTACACTGTATATTGTGTTATGTGTCTTATTTCAAACTCACTGTACGTGTTATTCTTGAACACAATGAGAACAAGGTGTCTGGAAAGGACAATGAAGATTGTTGTTTTTATTATCAAATGGAATTTTCGTTATTATTATACTTTTTTGAAGGGTGCATAGGAAAAAGAAGGATTGTCAACTTTTCACATTTTTGTGATACGCTAATAAGTGGATATCTCATAATGATGGACATGTCCACACATAAATCTGGCTGAAAAAAGGGGGAGAGTCACCAGGTACGCCATGTTTAAAAATACTGTGTTCTATGCAAGAAATGAGAAAGTCAAACTGTAAAATCGTTTGTTTTTTTCTCAAAAGTGAAAAAAATTAAATTACCCCTTTTCCTTTGCCCATTTAGTTTTTGGTTGGACGAGACAGAAAAGTTTGTAGGGCATTGATGGTGTTGTCTGTTGTACTTTGTTTCATGGCACAATAAGGTCAAATGAGAGATATTACACGTAGTAGTGCAGCTATAAGATCACCAGGTGGCCTCGGGACTACGGGTGCGGGGACTCCTGTGTGCCCCTTGTAACTGGAATGACCGTTAGTTAAGATTTACATCCCTTGCAACACAGTGAGGTTATTTGAGAGACGCCATCTCAAATTTCAAACTCAGTCTGCCATAGAACAATGACTTTCATATGAGCCAGGTATCAAAGCCCATTGAACTTCTGAAAAAAAATCTTTTTTTTTTTTTGGGTTTTTTTTTTTTTTTTTTTTTTTTCATATCGTCTCCTGTGGGATTTGAGCCAAGGAGGACCTTCTGCTCTGCAGGCGAGTGACTTTGCCGAGAAAATAGACTAGATTATGGAGAGTTAGAACTTAATATGGAGATACGACATTTGTACTTTGAGGCATTTAGTTCAATTTTTCAGAAACCTGGGTTTTCTTAAAACTAAAACTGTTTCTCAATTCCACAGGAAAACAGAAATCTGTGAAAACTTTTAAAGTTGAAACATTGATTATACACACAAACAATGGGTAACAGTTAGATGAATGAGTTGGTGATTGATTTGAATCTGGAGCCATCTCAAACTTTGAAGGCTTATTTCTCACAACCGGAGTGCTTGGACATACGACAGTTGTACTCTGGGCCGACGATATGGCACTTGCAACTATAATGATGTCATATAAGTGCCGTAGATTAGGGGTGTTACTACAAAGTAATAAACACACACAAAAAAGAGAAGACATAAGGACAATAGATGTTTGACGAAAAGAAGGGGCAAACCACATCAAAGCACCTACCAACCACCCACAAAGTATCTATACGATATGCTGGTTTTGATAGTATTCTCTTCTTCTGTTCAAGTACAAGTAAAATTAAGTGGGGTGAAAATAACAACTACTGTAGCAGCAACATGTAGACAAAAAAGTAAAAGAGAGGAAAATAGAATGATTCTTCTCAATTGTTTTTGTTTATGCAAGTGTTTTACAGTGCTCGCAACTGCATAAGGTCATATGAGCGTGCGGGACACATTAAACATTTTCAGTTTGGAAGGAATTAATTTTGAATTTTGCCAGCGTGGTGGCCGAAGCCTACACTTATTGATTTTGGGCTACCAGGGGATCTTTAATGAGCGCAACTTGCACATGGGACTTCCAAGATTTTTCACCCTTATCCAAGAAGGCTATGGGCTAGATCTTACCTACCTTAAGATCAGGGGTTTGGCTGAAAGTCACCTTTAAGAAGGAGCCAAGGAGTAGCAGTAGAAAGGCTGCAGAAAGAGTCAGGAGACCAGAGGATGGGGCAAAAGGGTGGGGGGACGGGAAGAAAGTAAAGACAAAAGCAGACGACAGAACATGGTTAAATAACAGGAAAGGAGGTGAAAATAGAAAATTTTAGAGAACAAAATTTTCCCGTCGTTGTCAGGTTTCAAACCCGGGACCTATTGAATGAGAGGCGAACACCGTAACCTCTAGACCACAAGAGCTCCTCTAATGATTCTTCAGTGTGTGAAAAGTTGGCCAACCCTTGGGTAACCAAACTCACCAAAAGCAAGTGGGAGCCACAAATGAGTACGATGACAAAAGCAAAAAATACGTTGACACCATCGGGAGGCCAGCTCGGGAAGACAAAAGCACTGATCAGGGTCACCTGAGGAAAGAATTTGAACAATTTCTTTTATGAAGTACAATCACACCTGTCCAAGACGACCACCCGATGTCGAGGAGCAAACTGGTCATCTTAAACAGGTGGTCCTCTTCGAAAGTGTCATTATAATCTAGAAAAAACGCAGGGGGGAGGGGGGAGTAGGAAGTGCTTGTTTTTACAGATGGTGGTCTGCGACAGGAGGTGTCTAGAGCAGGCTCACTTGTAAATATCTCATAGTCAGTCATAATAAAAGTGACAGATGGTTCAATTAAAACTTAACTACCAAAGCTAAATCGCACTTCAAAATACAGCTCTATACCTTGGTCATGACTTCGTTCTCCCTTGGAAATGTTCACAAAACCAGACTTCAATACCACTTCAAAAGAGACTTTCGTTGAGAGTTTTTGTCTTCTGCTACATTTTCAGTGACTTTCAGTTTGTTCTCACTACCTATGCATACACATGATATGATTTAAGATAGCTGCCAGGAAGACAAAATATGTGAGGCATCTTGGTGAAATCAGGCGCTCATCAAAATATTGAAATTGTAGACAACAGCATTTTTCCACTCGAAGGGCAATTTTTAATGATATTTCTTTTTCAGTCTCAACACTTTTTATGTCCATTTAAAAACAGATTTCTGTGTGTATATTACTGAAAAACACTAACCAAAGGCATAAAAAATGTAAATTCTCAGTTTCCAAGGACTCTCCTAAAGCTTTGGAAGTCACCAAACTTTGGCAGCCATTTTCTTGCGAATTCAACCTCAGCTACCAAGCCACCCCAACCTCCTTCAATTGCACATATATATATCTCGACTTCTGTTCAAGATAAGATGAGTATTTAATTCATCAAAAGCAAGGCAAATGAACAGGCTTTAAGATTATATCTATAACTTCATATGTAAAAAAAATTGACGAGCACCTGATTAAACTGCATCATGACACATATGTATGAACAAAACCTCTGATCAAGGGTAGTGCAACAAAAGGTTCACATACGATGATTACTCCATTATCAGAGTTGAAATTTTCATTTTACCAAATCCCCACCTTCCAAGGACATTGCAGTGTTAAATACAGTTGGCAAAATATCATCATCGTTAGGTAATTTGGAAAAAAGAGGAAAATCTCTCTTTCCTTTTCACAAGGCCACATAAATAGCAGATTTCTCCATCCTGTCAAGAACATATGGTCACAATGCACCATGAACTTCTTTCTGTGTTTTAACACTTAATTAAGGCTCCTTTCCCAAAACCAAGGTTCATGTCATAACATTCATATCCTGCTGGGTCAAAACTAGTAAAACCAGTCAAAGACGACTAGTCATAGTCAATGAGAAAAGTCTTCATCTTAGACAGATGGTCCTCTTGGATTGTGTCATTACAGCATCGAAAAAATACAACGAGGGAAGTGGTCATTTGTACAGGGGTTGCCCACCCCCTGAGGCAGTGCTACTGACTGAAGTGTCTTTAGGCCATTCCCAAAGGGGGGACATATCTCGTTCAAGCATAGTAGAATTGTAAATGGGCTGACTCATGTCACGCTCATAACTGTGCCTGATTTACAACAGGGAACTGCTGCTTTTTCTTTCCTGATCCTTACTATTGTCATTTTCCTCTACTTCTTTTGTATGTTTGTCATTCCCTTGTGACCTGCTATTTTGGGGTGCCTTGATAGTCGAAGCAGACCTTGTGCTGTTGAAGCTAGAGAGGTGAGCAGTCTAAGTCTGATTCCCTGTAAAGACTTCTCTGTTGATACCCACCCCTTGGCACTCATATGACCTTATGCAGTTGCGAGCGTCGTAAAACCCTCTACTATAAAAAAATAAAAAGGGGTTGCCTTGAACAGGTAGTTGTTAGGTTCTACTGTATCACTTTGATTATGATGAAAGCCATGATGTAAATTTCAAAAATATCAAATTTGAGTTAACTTACAAACACCATCAGCCCCGTCAAAAGGCCCACCACCAGGTTTATGACTCGATCCTGGAAGGAATTAAACAAAAGGAGACAAAAATTAGAAAAGTTGTCACTGTGTCACAAATAACAAGTCACTGGCACGATACAATTTCATACATCACGTATTTATGCAAAAAAGATTGTCTATCTTGAGAGAGAGAGAGAGAGAGAGAGAGAGAGAGAGAGAGAGAGAGAGAGAGAGAGAGAGAGACAGAGAGAGAGAGAGACAGAGAGAGAGAGAGACAGAGAGAGAGACAGACAGAGAGAGAGACAGAGAGACAGAGAGAGAGACAGAGAGAGAGAGAGAGAAAGAGAGAGAGAGAGAGAGAGAGAGAGAGAACGAGAGGATAGAGAGAGGGGGGGGAGAGAGAACGAGAGGGTAGAGACAGAGGGGGGGGGGGGGGAGGGATACAGAGAGAAAGGGAGGGAGGAGATACAAAAAGAAAGGGGGGAGGGAGGAGATATAAAAAGAAAAGGGGGGGAGGGAGAGATACAGAGAGAGAGGGAGAGAGGGGAAGGGATGGAGGGAGAGAGAAAGACAGGAAGGAAGAGAGACAGAAAAACAGAGAGTGAAAGAGAGAGACAGAAGGAGATATAGAGAGAAAGAAAAAGGTGAGATATAGAAAGAGGGTGGTAAAGAATGAGAAAGAATTTTTTTGTTTGCTTGGGTATGGCTCGGCTATACTATAAAAAGATAAACATAATAATGTATAATACTACTTGTCCACTGAGTTGGGGTCACTGCAGTAGGAACATGTCCATCTCTGCTTTCCCCCCCTCTTCAGGATCCATCCCAGAGTCTGTCAGCTTATAGTCTCCATCATAATCATAAACATAATAGCAGGTGAAAAATCTTTACGTAAAATAAAATCGTATAAACCATCCATACGGTCACTCAATGTCCACAGTTTCACTATTTCTCAAAATTATCAAACTTTTCTCATTTCTTACCTACTTCATACAACGTATGTGCAAATATGGTACAGATCGACATTTGATACCAAAATTGGGGCATATGAAAGCTGAAAATGAATAAAATCTCTTTTTCTTACAAAACATAATATATCAGTAAACTATTAAATAGTAATTCTAAGTATTTCACTATGTCTCAGTTGTGCATATGTGTAGTTAGATTTGATCTCAGGTTATATGATAGATAATGGGTCTCATTGGTAGGTCTTACACAATCTTACCCTAAACGACATAAGCATAATAACAACAAAAAATATATGCCATGCTAAGGACTCACCGATGATCTAGGAGCACCAAATAGTGGCCGATCCAGCGGATCGAGTTCCCTGTGATCCATGATTGTCTTGCAATTATTGTACTGGTATTTGTAGAAACAGATATGGTTTAGGACGCTGAAACACAGCAATTCTACAATGCTCCAAGCCTCTTCCCTCGAACTCTAAATTACAGAGCAAACTCCATCCCTGAAAACGTGAAATACATTGCAGGTGAAAATGACAATATTATTATAATATGCTCTATCACATCAGATTGTTTCTAAATGTCATCAAGGTATATATGTTCTGTCACATTTTGAAAAAGACCAAAAATTTTTCTTCCCTGTTAAATACATGATATGTGTTACATTCAAATTACAGCCACTTGTTTGTTTTAGTAAGGTTTTACGGCGCTCACAACACAATAAAGTCATATATGAGTGTCGAAGATTCGAGGCGTAACAAGAGAGTAATAAACACAAAATAGAAGGAGGGTAGATAAGGACAATAGATGTTTGATAGGAAAGAAGGAGCAAACCACACCAGAGCACCCACCAACCACCCACTTACAGCCACTGACTGAGGTAGAATTCTGGGCTTTTGAATAGTAAGAATAGGAAAAGGAGGACCAGTAGTACAATCACCAAATTGCCAGTGTGGAGAGGCGGACCAAACTGTTGAACACATCCTTCAGCACTGCAAGACACACAGGGCCCTGAGACAGGAAACGTGGCCAACCCCACTGACGCTACAAGAGAAGCTATACGGGCCGACAGATGAACTGAGCAGGACGGCCCAATTTATGACAGATACCAGACTCCAAGTGTGATGCGATCGAGAAGAAGGAAAAGGAGGCAGGGATGGGGGGTCATACTCAGAAGACATGGGTATGAAAGTAGTACCCCCAAAGATAGGAGATGTGTTCTCGTATGAATGTTCTATCATGTAAGTAACAAAACATTCGACTTCAGGGGCTGCAAATTTTGAACAAGGTGATTTAGAGACATGGAAGGGTAAGGTTTCAGTACTATTATTAAGGTAAAAGTATGGATCTAAATAAATAAATTCTCTATATATGAATGAATTTCTTGATCATAGCACAAAGCAGTTAATGCCAAAAAGAAGCATTTCTCTTCAAATTCTATTCTCTGTCTCATATTTATTTTCTTCCAGTACCTGTACTACTGAATAAAATTGGAACATTTAAGTTCTTTAGTTTATAATTATAATTTTCCTGAAACTGCATCTATTGATTGATATATCATTATTGACCATTTCTCTGCCTATCCTGTAAATTTTGCATTCTGTCCAGAGACATGCATTCCAGACTTGTCTTCTATCAGAAAGTAGTCAAGTGTTTGGGATTCAAAATGAGCGAAGCACAATTGTCACATTTTCACTGGAAATTTGGATCTCATCCTATTATCATTTTGAGGATAACTGCCTAGTATGGCACCTAAATGCCTAAAGCCTTGACTATTATATAAAGTTTGGTTAGGTTTGGCTTGAATTTCCAGCTTACCCTACAATACAGAGTACTGTGGGTAATATATTACGGTAATGCAATGGGAATCCATGAAATTTAAGATCAACAAGGAGGAAACATGCAGCAAATTCTAATGAAGATTATGACAAAAAGACAAAGTAAAGTGTCCATGCCATCAATATATGCATCAATCTAGAGTCCCTACTGGTCTTTTTTTTGTGTGTGTGTTTTACGGCGCTCTCAACTGCATAAGGTCATATGAGCGCACGGGTCACACCTAATATCTTCAGTTGGTAGGAAATTTTGAATTTTGCCCTGGTGGCGGCCAAAGCCTACACTTATCGATTTTGGACCACCAAGGGATCTTTAACGTGTGCAACTTGCACACAGGACCTCCGAGATTTTTCGCACTTGTCCGAGAAGGCTAGGTGTAGATCTTTCCTACCAGAAGAACAGGGGTGTGGCTGAAAGACAGCAGTAAGAAGGAGCCAAGGAGAAGCAGTGGAAAGGCTATGCAGAAAGAGTCAGGAGCCCAGAGAAGGGGGCCAAGGGGGTGAGGGGTGGGGGCAGAAGGAGGAAGCGAAAGCAGACGTCAGAATATGGCTAGAGAGCAGGAAAGGAGGTGAGGAAAGGAGAAAATTTTATAGAAGAACATTTTTCCATCGCTACCCAGATTCGAACACGGGACCTTTGAATGAGAGGCAAACACCCTTAACCTCTAGACCACAAGAGCACCCCCAACTGGTCCAAGGCAAGCCAAGTTATGTGTTAGTGTCGTGCGTGTACCTTGTCCTCTGGCAGTGTTGCGGGGTTAATTTTTTACTTAACAAAAAACAACTCAGAGAGTTGGCAGAAATGGCGGTTTAGAGGGGAAATAATACAGGCTTAATTGTAGTATTGGACCCAACTTGAGTTGACTGCTTTACTAATGGTGTTTTTAAAGGTTTTAGGGTGTGTTATTAACGAATATGATATTCAAAACCATCGCAAACGTCCTGTAAATAAGACATTGGTACCTGTATTGTAGGCCTCTATGTATATTTTCAGGAACTCTGCGTACTAATACATCGGGAAATATCAAGGCGATTGCAAGGTGAATCACGTTTCATAAATTGTGCACATGCGCCATCCAATCATTCTGAATATTACTTATTGAGCATGTGAGATCTAACCGTTTTGTTTATTAATTATTGCGCATATGTGTGCATTTCACTGCATCTGCAGCGCTTTGCTTATAGTAGTAATAGAATGTCACCATTCCCTTTTAGTTTGAAATTTTTTAGTCTTGCTATTATTCTCGCGACTCTTCTTGTCTCGGTCAAATCATGTTATGGATTCGTGCCAGCCGTGCATCTTCAACTATATACCCGAAAACACCAGAAAAGCCGCGTTTTTTTAACAGCTGCATGGTATTTTGCTGAAGGAAGTGGTGTGCCCAAAGTGTTCTACGCAGTACACATTTTGGGAGGACATGTTTATGGCAATGCAGGAACAGTTTTGTGATTCCTGAGAGAAAAAAGAGGAGGCATTGTGTCTTCAGTGTTTCCGACAACAAGGGCAAGGGTTCTTTCTTGGATCAGGAGGATCAGAGACAGTGACAGATCAAATGCCCCCTGAATTTTACCATAATTTAATGTTTTGCAGTTCGGGTAGTATCCCTGTTCTTTGTGTTGCCTATTTGGTCATGAAGACTTCTGGATTTCTTCTATGGATGTAAACAAATGGATCATGGACTTTAACGAATGGAACTACAAGATCACCAATCTACCACGCTCTTTTACTAAATTAAATTGAATGTTGTTTTGTTGGCTGGCCCTCTGCGGAACTCCTTCCTTCCTTTATGTGCATTGGCAAAACCTTGCAGTAAGTTAGGCAGGCGGTATAAGAGCTCTGACATAACAAAAACATACAAAAGCGAAAAGAATTACAGAGAAACCTTAATTTTCCTACCTGGCATGAACAGTAGATCTACTCAGTACTAACTACTCAGCCACTCTCAGAAGACGAATGCGAGATAGCTGGCAGAGGTTCTTGTGGAAATGAAAGGATATGAAAAGTCTTAAAAGAATCCTATCAAAACGTATGCAAGAGCTGATCGCTGCTTTTTTGTGTCTGTGTGTTTTTTATCGAAGGAGAACTACGGAGCAATTGTATTGCATGACGCCAGCAGTAGGTGTTTTCCGTTGATCGTGACTGTTAGATCTGTCTCTGGTCAGTCAAAACAAAGATTGAAGATGAATAATATATTACAGTGATCTCCCTTGTTTAAATGTTACACTAAAAACACGGAACTGTTCGCATACTTTTCCAGCTTGAGCGCTGTAAAGTATTTTTGGCGGTCAAAACTCATCAACCGCGAAACGTGTATAATCACGGAGTCACTGCGGTCACCCGACCTTCCCCCTCCCCCCCCCCCGAAAAAAAAAACAAACAAAAAAAGAACAAACTAACAAACAAATAAACAAACAAACATACAAAACCCCAAAACCTCTAAAAAAAACATTACATTATTTTATATATATATCCTTTATTTGTATACTCTTCCAATATTCTGTACGCTTTAATGACACTGTAATTGTCAATTTTTACGTTCCTGTATCAGAAGGAATGGCCCATATATACATATATCCCGCAGTTTTTCTGAACTTTATGTTTTCCTTTGTTTTGACCAATTTTGATTTTTGATTTGCAATGTGGAGTCGGTGGTGCTAGCGTTGAACTCGTAGTAGCCTACTGAAAGGCTGTAGGTTCCAACCCCCATCAGGGAGAGGCACTTTACACAAATTTTCCTCAAACCCGATATAAACAGTGGAAGATTTAGTCAGTGTTTAATCAGCTGCTTGCACTGCATGAAGTGCATATTAGATCTATATGCCTCCAAGGAAGCTGAGAATGTTTTTGAGTGTTCCAGGTCTGCTGGGGCAATGATAGGGCCTTTAAATAGTAAAATGTGTACACATATACTGTTTGGGGGGGTTATGCACTATACTGCCATAACGCTGACAAAACGCCTTTTTCATTTTTTGCTCCAATTTTTTTTCTTTTTTTTTCGCCAAATCGAAAGCCTAATCAGTCACCCTACTTTTTTGCAAAAATCGAAGTGAAAGTTCCTCTAGTTTTTGAATAAATTGGAATTCAAATTTTGGAATAAAACGTCTTTTTTAAATGGTTATACTGACAAAAAGCCTTGAATCTTTATCTCGAAACTGCTGTGAAGGAAAAAAAAGACATTTTGCCAGCTTACGGCAGTATGTATAGATCTATGCCTTTCATAATTATGACAATATTATGACAATTATATCTTTTTTAGAGGCAGACGAGGTATGAAAACGAAATTTGACGCAAAGCTCTATATACTGGCCCTATAGAAGAGTTACAGGGAAAATCAAGAGGACAAAAACAAGCACAGAGATATGAAGAGCAGAAGAATCAAAGACCTATCAGAAGTACTGTCAGTGTCAGACAACTTCTAAACAACTCAAAACAATACTACCTATATCTAGAGAAAAAAAGGAAGAAAAATTCATTAGAAATCTGTTTATTCAAAGACTCACTTTAGATCAAAATGTATAAAACAATGTATACAATCTCTGAGGTTCGTTTTCAACCAGTGTGACAAAGGGATTTTTCTTAGGGTTAATGGGCCAGTAAGAATTAAGCATGTCATTAACATATCAAGAGAAATCTAAATACACAGCAAAATTTATACCAATAACTTTTTATGTGGTCACTCAGATATTCTTGAAAAGTTCTCATTTTTACATTATCACAAAGTAAAATCTGAATCTGAAACACATAAAAGGAAAAAATAAATGGCTCAATATATTACGGTGGAAACCCTTATATCACCTTAGTTTAAGTACACGTGTATGAAAAATAAACACTTATTTGTAGAGCAAACACACACCTACTGTAAACATTAGTTTGCGTGGAGTAAAAACAAGATGAGCACCTGTTCCAGCAAATCACTCGGTGCCATCAGCATTCTTTAAGGGGAGGAGCGACCCTTGATTTTGCAGATTTTGGGCTATGCAAATTTTATGTTGGCTGATTTTTTAAAATCAACCAGTTTTTTGTCTAAAAATAGCATGGATACAATTGAGAAAGTCTTTATTCTCCTGGTAAATTGCCTTTGAAAACATGAGGATAGATTAATATAGTGAATTTTCCCAATTATTGTCGTTTTTCGCAAAATATAATTTTTTTGCAGTTTTTTCCCTACTCCTTATTTGACTTTCATCCTTTTGACAAGCAAGTTTTAGGAAACATAGATGGCAAACCTGCCATCAATGTAACAGATAGACATTTGAGAAAAGAAATAACACTTTTCCATTGGCAAGTGATTACGCAATCTGAAGGTAGAAAAAGTTTTTTATACTTCGGGAAAATTCTCATATTTTTTTCTCTTTAGCACTTATAGAAAAAACTTACTGTTACTCTGATAGGGTCTAGTTCAGGTATACTCTCACCAAATTTGGTCAAATTTGGTCAATAAATAAGAAAGCCTTAGGAATATGAAATCCATTGTTTATTTTCAAGATGGCGGCCGTTTCCATAGCAACCGCTGTACCTATGCCAAAATAAAATTGCGCATCAAGAGATTTTACTATGTCTAACTTATACGTGTACTTAGATTTGATCTCGAGCAACAGACATAGAAAATTGTCCTCAAGGGTAACTCCTCCTGTTAAACATCACTATTACTTCTACTGATAGATTCTAAACAGAAGATAGACCTCATGATGAGCCCAAATGTTAAGCATGTTGACATTTGAAAAGACTCTATTTGCTTCTAAATTGAAACTACAACTAATGACTGATTAATTTGAGGTTCATTGAAAGTTTGTCATTAAGTCTACTCAAGAAGCCCAAATAAAATCTGAAATTATGCAAATTGAGCCCAAAAATGTGAAATTATGCGATTCTATTAATTTTAAAAAAGAATGATAAAGGAAAATAATCAGAAATTATGCAAAAAATGATCAAATTTGGCTAAATTATGTGGGGTGTATAAAACCCCTTGGACAGCATAATGCATACTAATGGTGAAAAAATGCCACTTACTTCACATTTTACTATAACTCTTTTGCATGTAGATCTACCACTACTTAACCGTTGGAACGCAGTGTGATGTTAGCCATTACTTGGTTTAAATTTTCAAACATAACATATTTAGATCTGATGACGACATAAGAAAACTTAAATGGACTCGTCTCATCCATCATTATAATTCTTCTCGCAGTCTTACATACGCTTTTGAATAGATTGACAGGAACAATGCACGTTCCTCCACCCCTATTATAACTTCTCGTTTCAGATTGGTTCTTTCGAACATAACAAATGATATAATATATATCAGCAATTTAAAAAGTTTGTTTCATTATTCTATTGCTTTTGTAATATCTGTGAACATCAGAATTCAACAAGCTTTTCAATGATAACTAGCTGCCTCTACAATATTTACTACACCATCTGTAAAAGCCGTTTTTTATTTCCGTATATGATATCTTCAAAATGATTCGTGGAGTAAGAAAATTACATCCAAATGGTTTCAACAGCTGAAAAAAATTGTGTCCTGAATGAGTTAAACAAGTTTAACATTTTTGCACAGAATATAAAAATTAAACCAATTCAATTTTACAATAAAAGCGTCCCCGGACAAAGTCTGAAACAATCGTAACAACAATTAACATTTCTTCAAACTTTAGTGTGAGATCAAATTCTAAAAACAACAGGAAAAATGAGGTATTTTGACTTATAAAGTAATATCATAGAGGAACAAGAGAGGGTGTAACTAAAAGATCAAAGACCAATCAACAACACTTATACATATTCAGTCTTGTAATCCACTATCATACATCATGAAAACGTTAGTACAGAAATAATTAAAATATGAGATAAATTTCAAGACACCAACACCCTGTTTTTGTGTACTATGACACTTACAGCTACAATTAATGTTAATAAATCTTGAATACACTGGAATGTGATTGTACTTGCATATACTTGCATACATTATATATATATATATATATATATATAATATTTCTTATGAGACCGAGTATCTATAAAATTCTTCAGTTGATTTCTTTACCACTAAAATATGATGTTATATAAACTGAGCGATTTTTTAAAAAGCCACCTTCTTCACAGAACTTAGATCTGATGTAAACAGATTTAAAACGTGTTTTCAACAACTAACTCTTTCAGCAAACCAGATCCCAATGTCAGATCTATGCTCAATCTCCAAAACAATGCAAACTGTTGAGAAGAATGCTTCCGCACATGTGCAGCTGTACAAAAAAATAAAACCACACAAAGTACCCAAATCCATACAGCCCTCATTTTTATCCATGTAATGTAATTTAAGTAGACAAGTATCCATGGATGGACCTCAAGAGACTGTAGATAAATGAGTGAGTATTTTTAATAGTTTCAAGAGCAAACGGATTTAAAACAAGACAATTTCCTTTGGCAGCTACTAAAGGACTCAGAAAAAATCTCTCTTCGTACACTGCCCAAAAAGTATAATGAGGCCTACAAATCTATATAACATAAAAAAAACATCAAAGGGAAGGAAATCAAGGGAATAGGTCTGGTAAGAAAAAACAACTAATTAACTAAACAACAGAAATACAAACAAATTTCATCACTGATTTCAGCCGCCCTAGGAAAGGTTATATGACAGAAACAAAAATGAATGCACAATCATTTAATTTCCCTTCCCATCGTAATGGCATTTACTCTTGAGCAATGTACCACACTTCATTGTGCCTGTCCAGGATTCTAAATGGACTGTCATAGCCTGCAGAGTAGAAGTAGTCTTTGTCAAACTTTTTTCCATCCTTCAGCAATGCCATGGCCAATTCCTTTGCATTTTTCAGCCAATCAGATTGAGAAGCATATCCACCAAACGCCCTGTTATGGGAGAAGAATATATCAGTAATAGAAGCAGCAATGAACTTTCAGAACTTAATTGAGTGATTGAATACATTTAGATTGAGTAAACAAAGGTGGTCATAATAAACATTTGTCAATACAAACTAATCAAAACTGAGACTCGTCATATTTTCTTTTCTCATGACAAGTTTTAGAAATTGACCTGCAAACACTGTCATTTCATCTCCTATAGGCAACACATAACAATTGGGCCTCAATTACACAACATTATGAATAAATGGTTTTTAATTAATGCTGTTTTAACCCCACTTTTCCCCCATTGCAAAAATAGTCATCTTTGTTTTCATTTTCACTCTCTTATTTCAGTTTGTTTGGTAGAACTTTTGTGGCACTCACAACCGTATACGCTCAAATGAGCACGCACTCTCTACTTTGTTAGACATTTAGTCATGTTCATTTTATAAAATCTCCACTCACTTCACAAATACTCTCTGTTCGGGCAATGAACTCAGGTATACAGTTTTGTCACTTGGTTGTGGGGGATCCTTGACGGAGGTGGACATGTAGAAGGACATGGTGAAGTTGTTCTCACAGGCTGGGCCCTGCCCCGGAATAATCCGGTCCAGGACTGGGGCAGTCATGGTAATTTTCTCCTCTGCAACAAAGTATCAAATACAGTCTAGCAAGCACATACAAATATCGGCGAGACTCTGAGATATTTTCATTAATTTTGCTGAGTACATGTTTTAAATACCAAAAATATAAATGTACATGTATAAGAAAAAACTCCAAACCTGAAAATCTGTTCCCTCATATGCACGTTTTGCTATACTAGACTGTATATTGTACATAAACAGTGCCCTCTGGTTAAAACAGCTATACCAGTGCTGACAAAAAGTTGGTTGTGATAAACAGATATTAAGGTATAAAAGGGTTCTTGGCAAATAGCAAAAGAATTCATTGCACATCAGTGATAATAACATGAATTGTTCCTCCTAAATCTTGCCAAGTTTTGCATGAGAACACACCATAGGGAAATCTGATCAGGCCTGGAAATGAATTTACATGTGCATGTACAGAGGGGATTGTTTAAACTGAAAACTGTTCATCAATCCAAAAACAAAGCAGTAATCTAAAAGAAATTACAATCCCTAATCTTTCCTCCTTTGTCTTTGTAAGAAAACTATAGATTAGCTGAAATGCTCCAATCAAAATAAATCCTGAGAGTTCTGTCGTCTAAATTCCACTGACTTTCTCAAGTAAAAAAAATTATCAAGTCTTCCATGATTTAAAATAACTAAACAGAAATGGGCCTGAGAGAGGTTTTACCAGAGAACTGTTAGCCTGTATTATCTTATACAACACATCAATAGGCCAACACACAGTGTGTAGTGACCCAAAGAGAATGAATGTATATCCATCAAGCAACCTTTAGTTTGTGATGGCCCATTGTCTCTCCAAAGCTAGATTACCTGATCAAAAACACAAGAGCATGTGATGTGTCTCATGACATCATTGGCATTGGGCCTTGGAACGAAACAATTAAACTACAAAGGGAGCGAGTGAGAGAAAGGGAGCGGGATGAAAGAAAGAGAATGAAAGAAAGAGAATGAAAAGAAGAAGACATAAAGAGTTAAAGAGGGAGAGATAAGAAAGATTGTTTGAGTACTTACATGCACAACAGTCTTATATTGGTGGATGTACTTGTGGTGGAAGGCTTATTAAAAGATGCATTTCTTTGGGTTTTTTCAGTTGTCAAAAACAGAATTTTCATTTGGGAAACAAACTTAACCCCCTGCCCCC